TGCTGAGTCCTGTAACGCTGCGTGGTGAGGCCTGAGGAGTTACACGAGGCTCTTCAGACCTTTATGTCACGTGTTAAAACATGGGCTGATCAAGCTTTGAAAACCAGCATTGGATGGGGTTTCTGTGCTTTCCTAGGGCTGGAGTGTTGCTTGGGATGCAGGGCAAGGAAATAAAATGGATTAATGCTTCCTGCTTTCCCTGCACGTGAGCTACAAATGGTGAGAAGGGAACAGGACCTCTCTTTTCACTGCCTAGCACTGAGTTAGTGGGTTGTCATAGTTCAGTGCCAATACAAACCAGCAGATGCCTCCTGATCAAGGAAATGGGAAATTTTGTGAGTCAGAGAGAACATCTCTATGTACCTTGGGGAAATCTCTAGGCAAGGCTGCCTTAAACACGGTGGCTTGCTCAGGTCTGTGCTCAAAATCACAGTCCAGACTAAACAGTCTATCACTCTTGGTTAAAGTATCCCAGATTAAAATACACATTTTTTGAAAATATTTTAATTCTGTTTTCTCCAAAAAAATCATTACCTCCTTCAACTTCTCAACAAGTATAAGCCTCACAGCTTTCCTGCCTCCTCTGGAATTACTAGGTCATTGCAGACATCAAAATTAATGAAGAGATGAAAGATTCAGGAGAAAGGCAAAATCTTACTGGAAAAATATTTCTTAATATCAAAAGCAATTCGAGAATAATGAATATATCTAACAGAATAATAAACAAATGCAAACTTCCTGATGCTTAAATGAATACATACGAAGGAGGACACAAGACTTCGAAGTTATTTTTTTTCTTTAAAAAACCAATTCATTTTAAAAAGTGAATGTTTCCATGTGCTTCTGGGGCTTTACATAACTGGGATTTCCACTGCCTAAATTTTTGCAAGACCTTAAAGTCAGATAATTAGCCAAACTCAGTCAATGCAGAAAGGGAGCTCTCTTTGCTTCTCACCTTCGCTGGTGGCACAGTGGTGGAAGCAGTGCTGCAAGCAGTGGCCTTTGGACTTCGTCCCACAAGACGGATAAAACACGCTTCCCTGTGTGTCCATCCATGAGCACCCTGCTACTTAGCACTGAGGAAACGGCAGAATGGTTACGGCTAACTTGGAGCTGACTCAGAGCACGTGTGGAAGAGGAGGAAAAGTGGCTGGGATTAAAATAAAATAAATATATATTCAAAATAAGTTGCTATGTGCAATTCAGCTCAACTTGTAGGAAACAGAGATGTCTAGTTTCTCTGTGATACAGACTGTCTTTCCTCCATGGCAGTGACTTTTCAGCTGATGGAAACACAGGAGTAGCTTGTAACTCTATACTCTAGACCTGATAAAGTAATATCATTATATGATTCTTTCTATTGGAAAAAATGTTTGTCAGAAGCCCTCATTTAAATAGTCTTGAAACAGATACTTCTTTAGTCCTACCTGGACAGCAAGATGACCTCTTGGCAATTCATTTAGTCTAACACAAAATAGGAGTAACTAATATATGGGATCCCCCAGCACTCCCATACCACTGGTAATAGAAGAAAAATCAATATTAGTTCCAATATGAATGGAGTGTTGGATTGACTGAACAGGGAGCTTTGAAATAAATATCTAAGAAATGTTTGGATGAAATGGACATCTTTACAGACATTTGGTCTGCATTTCTGAAATGTAGATGATTAAAGCCACATTGTTGGCTTCTTCCCCCTCTGCACTATGTCTTTCTTTACATCTTGCAAAAAATTTATGAACAAAGTTATTGTAAATCTGCAATGTCTGTCTTGTCACTTAGATTCTTTTCAGAAATGCTGCCTTGCCAATGTAGATATATAATCCTGTATGATTAATATTTATTACTTATAATTCTAAATACAATAGAAGGTCACCAAAAATACCCTGCCTAACGGAGTCTGGAGCCCTTTAAAATCTCACTGGTGATGGATCCTGAGTCTTGAGAACTGAGCTCAAAAATCTTAGCAAAACACTTTTCTATGTAGGATTTCCAGTATTTCCTGCTTCTGACTATAGCTATTGCCAAAAAGCACAAAGGTGAGCGAAAGTTACAGATCAGAAAACATAAGCTTGGATTTCAAATCCAAACAAAGGTCAGGGAATGCCTGAACCTGTCCGTAATCTTAGATCAGCCTGTAATAGAGCTATGAGTAAGATGCAAAGTTAGGACACAGAGTGAGAATTGAATTCACACAGAACAGGCACAGTAGCTGAAAACTGTTTAATTTTCCTCTTTCCTTTCCCATATCTATCAATACATTATATCTAGATTTTTGGAGGGTGTTATTAGAAAAATGAAGATATTTAAGGATTTTTTTATTATTAATTAAAAGGAAGGTAACTTGGGGATTTTCAGGTTTTATAATGAAACTCTAAAAAGATTTTAAGAACATGCAAATAGTCTTACAAAAAGTTCATTTTCTTTTTGGTATAAGTTCAACCATTTTTGAACCTAATTTTTTAAAAACGGCGGCAATTTGAAGTCACTGAGATCAAGCGGGTTTTGGCCCTTTTCTAGCAAAACTGAAGTAAGACATATTAAAACATTTCAGAACCACGGGATTCAGTAAATTGACAAAAATTCACAGAGACAGATGAAATCAGGACAGACCCTGATCTGGTTCACTTACCCTGCCTGAAAAATCTGCTGCATGTTGGACCAATCTTCTTTAAGGAGCTAAATATAATAAGCACAAAGCAAGAATACGCATCTGCCTCTGCGTCTTCATTCAAAGATTCACTGCAACTGAGATTAAGCAAAGCCACTAATTGAAGAACAAACCTGGAAAAAGACAACTGAGAAACAAGTAGTTTCGGTTGATCAGCATGCTCTTACCCAAATCATACTGAAAGTGCAAAAATCCCAGTGATCGTTAATCCGACAGAAGACTTTTCACTAGAAACAAGTTTGCAGACCATTTGCTAATAACGCTTTTCTAAACAGACAGAGCCATCTTGACCAGCATGCTGAGTGAAAACAAAACCAGAAAGACAGACCGAAAGGACTGAGTCAATTAAAATAAATAAATACATAATTGCCTTAATTTAAAAAAAAAAAAATCACCGATAATTCCAATCTCATGAAGAAATGGTTTTAACAAGCCACATGTGCTTGTGCAGACACTTCTAATCTCATTAGATTTTTCTGGCTGCTATTAGTGTTCTCTGAGCCAGCTGATTTCTCAGCAATATTTTAAAGAGTACAAGCCTTTGCCCTCCAGTCTAGCTGTTGTTAAAATAGCCCATTCTAGGAGAACACTTGGGAGTTCATGGATTTTCTTCCAAGGTTTTGAAAGTTCAGAACAAATTGACCATGCGAAACAATAGTCAACCACAAACTATCTTCATAGTCAATAAGCAATACTCTGCTCCCAGCTGGGTTAGTGGGAAAAGTGGAATAATCCCACCAAAGCAACAGGATGGCTTCAGATTGTCATCAGCATCACACGGCAGAGGCTGGCTTTTGATGCTGTCTCCAGTCTTCCAGCTCTCTGGCCGCAAACAAGCCTGCTGCGAGGTTCCCCTTGGTCACAGCTCACCAGCTTGGGGTTCCTCTCAAATCAGTGCAGCTCTCTGCAGCTCTGATCAGAAGGGAAGCCACATGGGTTAAAGTTCAGCTTTATTTTATCTTTGAAAACAATGATAAATCCTGCCAAACTGAAAATCAAGAGCCATGTGCACTGTTGTACATATCAGGGCATGTGAGTTTCATGTAAAAGAGCTGTCATTCTGAATTTGCTAAAGTAACGTGCAAATAATCACTGGTATAAAGCAGATTGTGTCAGGCAGATGTTACACATAGAATAAAACAATCAGTTTTAGAAAACAATCCCAATTCAGAATCGTGTAATCTGGATTAGTAAACCCTGGAGGAGCGGGACTAAGGCATCACGCATGGATTTCTGCTAGCATACTTGTCGAATTTCTGGCTGGAATTGTGCCTCTCTCTCTGTTTTAGCTTGCCCTCTTTGAGGTTCTCAAGAGCAAAATTCTCCCAGGGTGAGATGATGAGTGTTTGAAAGTGACCCATCTGGAGCCCAACATGAAAAAAGCACTTCCCCCTCCTGGAATTTGTGTGCAGCGACAGCTTTCTCCTGCCTATCCAAATCTCCCAAGATAGCAATTATAAAGGAATTGGCAACCATACAGTCAAGATGACAATATCCTACATGGTTTGGTTAGCTGTGCCAATTCCCTCTATTTGCTGGAGTCAATATGCTGCCCTCGTTATTGCTGTGTCTGAGTGTCTCTACCAACCAGCAGATCCACTGGGCATTTTGGCTCTCTTCCAAGGGCTGCCTGCTCAATTGCTCATTCACACTCTTTTGCTTTAAACATTCAGATCCAACAGCATCATGCAAATTTTACACAAAGTAGCATCTGCAAGTCTGACATATTCACTCAGGCTTCCCCCTCTTGCGCCAAGTTAAAAATAAATACCCTATAAACTCTTGGGCCTGCTAAGACAGAATATGCATTTAGAGAGTTTTTTAAAATAACTTCTAAGAGTATTTCTCCTTTCAGGTCAAACTCCTTTTTTTTTCCCTCTCTTCTCTCAGATTTTGCTCCTGCCTCAAGGATTTCAATCGCATTGGGAGAAAAGTGTTCTTGAAATAACCTACAGAAGAATCAGTTCTATGTGTTCCTAACTCTTACTTGAAATTTCAGCTCATTTCCTATTTTTAAAACTCCAAATACAGGTGGTGATATACCCCCCAACATGAAACAAGAAACTAGTAAAATGGACTCATTTTCAATACTGATTGCTAATAATACTAGTTGAGCTAGATCTTAGGTTCAGATTTCAAAGGGTCTCCACCTCCCACACCAGAGCTGCCTTCTGTTTTCTCCAGGGAGAAGTGGACTTGTCCCTGACCAATACACTTGAACAGATGAAGTCATAGGGATGCCAACCAGATCGCATAATGATAAAGTATATCTTAAGGCAACAAGGAGAAGAGTCTGTAAAAGGGGATACTGAGCCACCACTGAGGTCAGTTAGGACTTGCTGAGCCGCTTGGCCACGTCTGCGTAGGCTTGCTCGATTTCTTTGTCTGCAGCACAGGTGTTGGTGAATTCATCCCTGGCATACGCGTTCTTCAGGTACCGCCACAGCCCCGTCATCTCTGTCGGGAACTCAAAGTTGCGGTATTTCTTTGCAACAATCTAAAGCAAAGATAAAAGAGGGGAAAAAAGCATTCTGATGGCAATGTATCTCCAGATTCCTTTTCAGAGAGCTTCTTGCTATTTCTTGCCACGTGATTAATAGCAAAGGAGAGAAACACTTAGAGAATCAGGGTCTTGTAATATAAAAGCCTGTAAAGTGACCATTGGTCATTCTCTATCTCGCAAGGATGCTACTTGGCCTAAAGACACTGTAACGCAATGCCCTGGCAACTATCACCAAATTATGACTTTTATGATGCCTGAAGTTCGATAATTTTACCATATTGGTGTTTGGTGTTTTTTATAAGTCTTATGTGCATCACTTCTGAAATCTGAAGTGCCAAATCAGAAAGAGCTGATTAGCTGAATCATAAAAAGGAAGGTAGATTGAAGGGGAAGTCATTATTAAAATTAATATCTAACATATTATAATATTAATTATTATATTTCCATTCAACATGTTTAATTTTTATATTTAACATATCTTTTCTATATACTATAGTTTTATTTATAATATATGTAATATATTTTGCCTGGCCAAATCAGGCCAGTTTACATCAGAGGATGTAACCACCTACAGCTGTTGGAAGGCTGCATCCATGTTCACGCAAAGGATAAATGCAGGGTGATATTGGTACTGTGATTGAGAAACCAAGATGATTTAGCAGACATTAGAAACAGGACTATTAGGAAAAACTGAGAAATAAAATGGTTATTTCAAGACTTGTTAGACTAGGAAATTGTCTATCAAAGGAAATTTTTTTATTTCTAAAAACACTCAGGCCCTTATTCAGGAAAATATTTAAGTGCTTACTTAATTTTAAGCACCTGTATAGTCCTACTGAAGTCAATGGGACTAATCTGTGCTTAAAGCTGGCTGGTTGGTTAAGCAGCTTGCTGGATTGGGATATTTCAGTTTTCCTGTAAGAATATACCATATAGAATAATCCTGTGGTGACAGAATGAACTAGCTGATAGGAAGGGACAGATTAGTTGATTTAATAAGTGCTTCCAATCTCTAATTTTTCTGACAGTATAAAATTGTTCCTGGGCATAAATGACATACATATGTGCCACAGAGCTCCCCTTTATTTTAAAAGCACCGGTAGAGCTGTTTTCCATCTCAGATTTCTTAGGACAGTCATATTCTCAGAAATGACTGTGATTTGGTTTTATTACCAGGATCCACTTGGTAGATGAAAGTCCAAATCCTGTCCTAAACTGTATTTAATTAAGCATTCTTGCCTTCAATGATACTTCACGTACACATGGGGAAGATAAAACCCACTGCACAATTTAAGTCAAGATTTTCACAATTTCCAGCACATATCTTCCATCAAATAAAAAAAAATAATATATCTTTTTCTTCCATCTGTAAAATGCTTTTTAGGCAATATCCTATGGCCATGCTTGTCCACGCTTGATTTTAATTCTCGTTTGACTTCTTTCATTTCATCTCAAGGAGACATGGACCAGTAAGGGGCCACACATTCATTTTGCATTGTCTGACTCCAACAGCGTCAATGAAGATGAGTCAAAGAAAGAGCTAAACCTGTGAGCATATTTCTTATGCTGCTTTTCTTCTTTTTTTTTTTTTTTTGCATGTGTGCAGCCAGCTCCTGGGCTCAGTTTATGTTTTGGCTCATGGAGCCAAATTAGATGCATGACTTGGCTTTAATTCCTAGCTTTCTTGCTTGCCAAGGTCTGCCAGGTACTTGCTTTATTCTAAAGAAACATGTCATCTGATAAATTAAATAAACGCAACATTTAGAAGTCAAGATGATGTACACCGTTTGCACTATACTAGCAACCATTGTACATCTTAAATCCTGGACCTCGGCGATGACTTTGATTTGTTAACTTCTCTGTGTGAAATACCAGCTGGAACAAATATTCCCCAAAAGATGGACTGCTGCTCTTAACTTACAAACGGGTGGGAACTGACTAAATTTTGACATCTCTCTTAAGAATAATGGGAACTAATTAATATGAAATATGCTGTTACTTGTAGCAGGGTAAAAATAAAGAGACGGGATACCTAGATCTTAATATTGTCTTGGCCACTATCTAGTCATGGGACAGTCCCCCATGAATTAAATACAAAGTTGCTTAAGTTAACCTAGAGGAAATACTGAGGAGCAAAAGTGTGTTTCAAACTGCTCTTCTAGGACTTAAGATATCTTTGCTGCAATACATGTTGGCTTTACCACTCGGTCCTCAGAGCAGAGTACTTCACTGTCAGATAAGGCTTCTTTCATCATTGCATGATATTTTTTACCTTGACAACATGGAGTTTGGGCAGAAGGTTGCAGTCAGCAAGTGTCAGGTCATCTCCATCCAGAAACTTGCGTTTAGACACTTTCTCCTCTTCAGTGCTGTTTGCATCAATCTCCTCTGGCAGAGGCGTTCTCAGATAGTCATCCAGCTTCTTCAGAGCCTTCACCAAGCCTTTTTCAAGGGCTTTGCCAAAAAGCAATGAATAAGTGATCAGGGCAGAGTAAGAACTATTTAGAAACACTCATCATCAATGCTTATGGTAGTATCTAGAAAAAAGCCAAGAACTATTTCTTTTTTCTTATTTGTTGTTCATTTGTGCTCCAATACCTAAACAAGCTGACACCAACATAGCCCAGCAAGGTCTTCCTGAGGGTAAAGCTCAACCACAATGGAAAAAGTGGACATAGGGAACTGTTGCGCCATGTCTTCTCCTGACTAGCAAAAACGACTAGTGAAAGAGATCTTGGAAGGAAAGAACAGCTTGTCAGCAGGATACACCAATAAAACACATTCACCGTATGGCATTTTTCTGGTCTGTTGAGGCCATCACACAGTAAATCGGAGCCCTATAAGCTGCTATGTTATTTTTCTGAGCCGTTGGGTAGGACTGTAATGAAGGGGAATTTTCTAGCATTACTTCAGCTCTAAAAAGTTCTAGTTTTACTACTTTTAAACCCCTTCCAGAGTAATTAAAGGCAATAGCAGTAATTCCAGAAATGTTAACCAGAGCTCTACAGAGCCGGGAGATACACTACAACTGAAAAGCAGGTAATATAACAATAATTAAATACAACAGTATACAAAAGAGATAAGCTATTCAGTCACTGTTAAGATTCCCCTCACTTCAGATTCAACTTAGGTGCAAATTCCATCTTTCATACGTCTCAAATGGGGTGTCACAATGGAGATGAGACTTTGGACCTCGCACTTCAATTACTAAAGACAATGTCCCACACTAATGCCAGCTCCAACAAATTCCATGCTTAAAATGGGTGGCTGGAAAGCTGCCTGGCAGAAAAGGACCTGGGGGTGTTGGTCAACAGCCGCCTGAATATGAGCCCAGGTGGCCAAGAAGGCCAATAGCATCCTGGCTTGTATCAGAAATAGCGTGGCCAGCAGGACTAGGGAAGTGATTGTCCCCCTGTACTTGGCACTGGTGAGGCCCCATCTCGAATACTGTGTTCGGTTTTGGGTCCCTCACTACCAGACAGACATTGAGGTGCTGGAACGTGTTCAAAGAGGGGCAACAAAGCTGGTGAAGGGTCTGGAGCACAAGTCTTATGAACAGCTGTGGGAACTGGGGTTGTTTAGCCTGGAGAAAAGGAGGCTGAGGGGAGACCTTATTGCTATCTACAGCTACCTGAAACGAGGTTGTAGCGAAGTGAGTATCGATCCCTTCTCACAAGTAACAAGCGATGGAACAAGAGGAAACGGCCTTAAGTTGTGCCAGTAGAGGTTTAGATTAGATATTAGGAAAAAATTCTTCACCAAAAAGATAGTCAAGCATTGGAAGAGGCTGCTCAGGGAGGTGGCTGAGTCACCATCCCTGGAGGTATTTAAAAGATGTGTGGATGTGGTGCTTAGGGACCTGGTTTAGTGGTGGACTTGGCATTGCTAGGTTAATGGTTGAACTTGATGATGTAAAAAGTCTTTTCCTATCTAAATTATCTTCGATTCTATGATTCTAATGCCACTTTGGCATAACGTACAGCGGGGTGCAAATTTTTTACTTAAAAATACCAACATGGACACAGAATATGTGTCTTTATGCTTTACCAGCAAGATAATAGAAAAACTTGGTCGTAATAATGAACTTACTGAAAGCTGAATGACTGTACACAAGTTTGCATGTTATTTAAACTGCAGTCACTCTGGGGCAAGAAGAGTCTTTTGCATCTCTGTTTGAAGAGTGACAAGCACGATAGGGTCCCAGCCCTTGAGAAGTGCCCCAAAGTGCTAAAGCAACATAAATAAGAAACAGCAAGAATTTACAATGTGAAAAAATAACAACATGACTCATGGGCTTAAGGCCAGAATTTCAGCTGGTGAAAATTACCTGCAGTGATTTATACCTGCTGCAGATCTGGCCTGGAGTCAGTATTTAAGGCTTCATCCTGTAAAATCTTATATCTCTGAGTAACTTACTGCCATTTAACTTAGGGGAAACTACTCAATGCATCAAGTTACTCAGGTGGTGTAGCACTGCCTATGGAGATAAATATATTTATGGAGCACAACACGAGCTTCAAACGGCTGCAGCGATGGCCCGGTCTAGAACACCTCGCTGGCACAGGTAGCTCCGCTGGCTCTGCTGCCAGCCGCCCCTGTGTTTCTGGCATGGAGAGAAACGCAACGCATACAGGGCCACTGAGAGAGCAGGAGCTGAGCACCACTGAACATGACTTCTCTACTGCCTTAACATCCATTAAACCTTGTGCCAGTGGTGGAAGTCAGATTAAGCTGCTCGATGTCTTGCTCCCACTGATTCCTCTTGGCCAAGCACCAGGGAACCATACCAGCTCTTCTGTGGCTGACTCCTAGACACAGTGGCAAATCCTGGCTTAATTGATTGACTGGAGGAATGACTGCGATCCAACTGAAAACACCCCAACAAACATAGCAGGGAGGGAAAGAATTTTATTTCTGAAAGCATAGCATCTAAAGCGACTGAAGTGCTGCCATCCATAAAACAAAAGTGTTGCCATCCGTTATTTAATCAATTCAAATTGAATTTTGACACTGACATTCTGCTGTCAGATCCTGGCACTGGTGTCTTTAATCGTCTGCAGCTGTGCTCCGCCGCACAACTTCTACTGAAGCTGCTTAGCTTGTAATATACCCTCATGTGGCAACACTCAAAAGATTTAGCAATCTCTTTTTGGTTTGACCTGTAACACCTGTTGAATAGACAGTTCTTATCCTCTTGGCCAGCCTCAGACTGTGTCCTCTTACAATGAATTCATTTAGAGACAATGGAATTGAATTACCGTGATTTAATTCAATTTTGCTCATTCGGATTTTAGAGAATTGGCTTAACACTGAGCATTTTCCAGTATCCCCTTCACCCAGTAAGATCATCTGTGCAATATTTCCAGTATCAGTACTATATTAGATGCTTCGTGCTGGCCCACAGGGTCAGTTAAGTGTGTGTATGAAGACAGAACCATCAGGTGAGATGTGTTTATGTAACTTTTCTGGAACTTATTAGGATTGGGGTTTTTTTTTGCTCTTATTGGTGTATCAAAGTGCGTCATGGCTGTCTCAAAAACAATGCCTGGAGTGCAGCCTGTTTGTGACAGTGGGAAAAACATCTATCCGAATTCATACTTGGCGCTTGCATACGACAGCTTTAGTCCAGAAATAAGTGCGTGTTCAGGGTTCAACACATCTGTGACCTAATTCACAGGCTCTGCTGGAACCCACAGGATCCTGAGATCTCCTGGTGAAATCACCACATGGTCAGGATCACCTCATACCCCGATAGCCAAGAACTGCACAACTATTTGTGACTCCAATGACCCTGTTTAATTAATCATACTCTTCTAATCCTAACAAATCTCTCAGAAGAGCCATGAAAATAGAAGAGTAGTGAACAAGGGAGAACAGCCTTTCTTCCAACTGGATAGCAACATAATTTTGAAAAGCTAAAAGAATTAATATCCTAAGATTGCCATTTCAAATGGACTTTATGTGTACAGAGTCAGATTTTTAAAGGCTGTCAATGGTTTTCAAGGTATTTTTTTTAATCCACAAGCAAATATCTACGTTGCAAATCCTAAATTCTAGGTGTCCTGTAACGTTCAGATTTATCTGTATGATAGGAAGTCTTAAGTTCCTTGAGAATGTGCTCAAAGAAATTCCCACTCGAAGTAGGAGTATGTGTAACAATCTCCAAAATACCAAAGCAAGAGGCTTCTAAGCCCCACACCTCAAAAAGAGCCAAGTGTCTAATGCTGTTGAGTGGGAGACTCCACCTTATGTGGAGTCCACCTTTATTCACCAGTAAGCCTCCAGAAGAAAGAGGTATCAAAAGCAGGTCGTTTTCTTTCTTTCTTACAAAAAAAAAATTTACCAGTAGTATAGGGAGAGCATTTTCCAAAGTGGAAGACTGAGTTTCAAATGTTTTTTCAATGCGATGTCAGCCCAGATCTGCCAGATGAGACCCCACCAGTGAAGTATCAGGTAATCTGTACAGCTCTCCTATTAAACTGTTTCACTTTCCATAAATAACTAATCATTCAGTGGATCACGACAGAAGGCTGACACCACAGGTAAACGTCAGAAAAACTAACTCTCTCATTTTCTCTCTTATCTGATCAATACATAATGAGAGAACAAGAAATAACCTTCTCAGAACATCCTGCAGCTTCTGAAGGTTTTGAGACTCTTCCTGAGGAAAGAGCTGTCATAGTTCATGTTACTAAGCAAACTCAGCAAAAGAAAGAAAGATTTCACTCTAAACCTCCCATACTATGGCTATTTTGGGAAAATCTGGATGACTTTATATGTTGTCTCCACTGAGGACATAGGGGATGGTAGGCTCTCACCAGGGTAGGGGCCTTGTGAATACCAGTCTCAGCACTAGACTGAATGAAGACATTTAAAAAGATGTGAGTAACTAAAAAGTGACTAATTCCCCATTTGTGAACGTACTACCCACAATGAATTTCAGAAATGACTAAGCAGCAAATTCCCTTGGCAACTTATCCTCTTGGTAACATCATTAAATAATTAAATAGGTTTGCTGATAACAGCTGAGGCTCCATTGCAAGTCAATCAGGGGGACTAATCTTTCCTGAAGTAAATTAAGTGAATAGGTTTGAATTAAACACCCTGAGCTTCCTCTGTAGTCAGTGGAGTCTTGTCTTCTACACTTGGGTTAGGTGACCCCTAAATCAGCTGTGTGGAGAACTTTTCCTGAAGCGTCTAATTTCAGCCTTGCATTATCTTGGTAATGTCAGGGCAGAGGATTCAACATTACAAGACCAAGTGGAACTGTGCCTGAGAATGTGGCTCTGAGTCGCTTTTGAAATTTCTACCTCCAATAGCTTCCTCACCCTGCACACCTTCAGTATGAACTTAGAGATCCCAAACGTGACCAGCTCTGTGAGAAGAGCCCTGTTATCAGGTTACCCTTGCAATGCAAGGTTACTGCAATGTCTGAACTCCTGGAAACTATCTTT